TTGGGTTCAACACAAAAAAAAAAAAAAAAAATACAGTACCGATGCATATTGTCGTCTTCGATAGTTGGGAGGCCTTTTTGCTGTGTGGTGATTAAATGCATATTACGCCCTAATGGTTTGAGTAACGTTTCACAACAGATGACATAAGCACACTTTCTTCTTAATATACGTGTGTGTACGTGTGCATATATATGTGTGTGTGCATATGTACATGTATGTGTATGTATATGTATATATATAAATCTGGTTATATGTATATATGTATATATATTTATATATGTGTGTATATGTGTGTATATGTGTATATATATGTATGTATGTATGTATATGTGTATATATATATGTATATATGTATGTATGTACATATTTATATGTATGTATGTATATATTTATATGTATGTCTGTATATATGTATTTATGCATATATATATATATATATATATATATATATATATGTATATATATATATATATATATATATATATATATATGTATATTTATGCATATATATGTATTTATATATATATATATATATGAATATATTCTGTATATGTATATATTATGTATATATATGTCTATATGTATGTACATATATGTATGTACATATATGTATGTATGTATGTATATATGTATGTATATATATATGTATGTATATATATATGTATGTATATATATATGTATGTATATATATATGTATGTATATATATGTATGTATGTATGTATATATATATATATATATATATATATATATATATATATATATATATATATATATATATATATATATATATATATTATGTATATCTGTATATGTGTGTATGTGTATGGATATATATTATATATATATGCATACACACACACTCAAAGATATATATACGTATATATACATATGTGTATATGTATGTATATATGTATATGGATATATATGTATATTTATATATATTTATGTGTATATGTATATGTATATGTATTTATTTACACGCACACGCATATGCACACGCACGAACACAAATATATATATATATATATATATATATATATATATATATATATATATATATATATATATATATATATAAATATATAAATATATATACATGTATATAAATATATGTATATAAATATATATAGATGTAGATATAGATATATAGATATATAGATATATATATACATATATATAATGTATATATGTATATGTATATTTATGTATATTTATATGTATATATGTATATTTATATATATATTCATTTATATATATAATTTATATATATTACGTATATGTTATATATAATATATATATGTTATATATATATTATATATATATTATATATATTTTATATATGTTATATGTATTATATATATTATATATATTATATAGTATATATATGTATGTATATATGTATGTATATATGTATGTATATATGTATGTATATATGTATGTATGTATATATATATATATATATATATATATATATATATATATATATATATATATATATATATATATATATATATATATATATATATACATACATATATGTAGTTATATACATACACATATATTTACATATATATATATATTTTTTTTCCTGAATGTTAAAACTACTACGGTTCAGTAGTCGCTCCTTCGTTTCTCATGTGATGGGTAGAAATTATGCAGCATATAGGATTCTACATTATATTCTGCTGATTATTATTATTTTTCTGTTAATATAGAAACTGTAACAGGTCTTCTGCTTTTTATTGCATTCCATCCCACGACTGAGTTGAATAAGAGCTGATACTTTAAAAAAAGTTCCTTGGAAATAAAGGGAAAATATATTTTTTGTTCCATCGTAATTGAGGTCTAGACTTCTTAGTGGTGAGTGAAGTAGAATATAGTAACATTTTCTGTGGTAACTGAAATGCCATGATGAAACGACTAGCACATACTTTCAGCCACATACTTTTAAAAATATACCTTTTCTTGGTTTACAAGCTATTTTAATATTTCATGATCTACAAAATGTTTAGGGTTTTATATATTTTTTTCCCCTTTTTTTCCCACAGGGATCCTTCTTAAGTTACTCTACCAAGCTTTTCAAGAATAAACTTCATGTTAGCTTAGCCAAGGTCACAGAAGGGCTAGGATAGTCAGAGAGAAAATTGTGATAGGGCGGGGTGGTGGACAGTACTACAAGCGGCCAAACAACGTTAATATTTTGTTATACTTTTTTTTTTTTTTTTTTTTTTGAAGATCAAGGCAATCTGCAAGGATCTACTTCAACCTCGAGCACTCCAGTAAACGGATAGATTAGAGAAGAGCAAACTACATGTACAAGTACTCGGTACATAATGGACATTGCTGTTGTATAAGGATAGGTCCAAGATACGGGGGACACGAGGAAGCACGCTTGACGGCCTTACTGCTGGCACGTTCGTCCTCTCTGTGCATTCCATATGCTTTCGCGTAGCCTGCCCCAAACACTAATAAGATACGCAACCTGCCTAATAAGGTGAC